GCACTAGGTATTGCAAAAAAGGCAAAAAAAGGCAAAACAAAATAGCGAAAAAGGCGAGGAAAAGGCACTAGATATTGCAAAAAAAGCAATAACACTAAAAAGAAGAAAAAAATCTTTTGAAATATATACAAGTAACAAAAAACAATAGGGATCCGACGGAACAGATATGCATGCAATTTATGAAATTGCAATCACAACAAATAACATTATTGTCATGGCGCAATCATGAAAAATGTAATGTAGATTGATTCATAAAAGCTGTGTAAAAACTTAAAGCCTGCTACTATAAGCGCTCCAATCAGAATTCGCATTGCATAAATTGTAGCTCTATCACGAATCGATAGCCCTTATTTTTCATTATATGAAAAATTTGTACTTTGAATCTTTGACTATTTTATCCTTTCGAGTTTCTAACTCATAAAACTTTAATCTGTATAGTTGTAGTAACATTGAGAACCACAAGATGCATTTTGAAGTTTTCTGGCAGCATTTTCATTCGATTTTTGCGAAGAAAAGCCTTGAATGTACTAAATGTGCGCTCGACGTAAGTTGATACAAGTCAAGCCCAATTTAAATATGGAACGTTTGAAACGTTCATATTATCAGGAATAAGGGCATTTTCCTCGTCCTTTTCAATTTTATCCACACCCCTTATTGTCTCCAAGCCTACGTTAGCTGAGAAAACGGCTTTGAATTTTTCCAACACCAATTTGGCAAGAGGTCCCTGCGCTTCTATAAGCCGCATGGGCATGTGTATATTTTTTAATCTTAAAAAAAAAAAAAAAATTGTAAATGCTATAATCACTTTTTTAAATGTAGAAAAGGCAAAAAAGGCAAATATCTTAAAAAAGGCAAAAAAAGGAAAATATCTTAAAAAAGGCAAAAAAAAAAGGTAACATCAAATGTGTATATATGGAATCAGGGAAAGCTAAATCGTGGACATTCTTAATCGAATATACTCTATCTCTTTAGCATAAAAAAAGGCAATTTCCATAAAATCCGTTCCCTGGGTATTACTTACAAGTATTCACATTCACAGCGTTACCTTAATTCACAAAGGCCCTCACCAACACTTTTTCAAAACTGCGTTATTCACAGATTTTGGTGGGAAGTATTAAAGTACACCCTTGATAAAAATTTTAAAGTGCTACTCCTAAAAAAGCCCTGCCTGTTTTTGGTACTATTTTTACAATATTTTTTTGCTTCTCCTGTAAAATAAAAAATTTGTTGGTTAGGGCCGTTGTGAAGTAAGGTAACGATGAGCACGCAGTTTTATAGTCCATTCAATTTTAGTCTAACAATAATGTGCAAGTTTCAAGTGCCTAAAAATCACCGTTGAATTTTTGGAATTTTTTTTTTCGCCGAAGTGTCGCGGGTTTCTTCCATATAAAAATAAATTGTGTTTATTCGTAATATACAAACAAACGCGCAAAAAAAAATCTAAAAAATCAACGGTAATTTTTAGCCACTTGAAACTCGCACATTGTTAGACTAAAATTGAATGGACTATAAAACTGCGTACTAGAAATGGGCGCGGGATAGCGGGAACCGCGGGACCCACGGTACTGATTAAAAATTGGCCGGGATGGGAGGTATCGGGAAGATCAGTAAAAATATGGCGGTCGGGACGGGACCAAAAACCTTTCCCGACACTCCCGATAAAACCGCACCCCCGCAAATTCACAAAATCTCCTTAAAAACGATGTTTGAAATATGCACTTTTAATGTTTTTTTGAGACGAAAACGAACTCCAAGCAAAACAAAATAATCGGAAGATGCCAGATCATTCATTATTATTTAAAATTAATTTGAAGGATATGAATATTTTTGTCAACCTTCGATCGGTTTGCAAACCACGCCACACACGTTGAAATCTCAACCGATCGTTTCAATTTGTTGTCCGTTTGTAGCCTGCTTTAGTGAAAGATATCGGGACCCTCGGGATCCGCGGTACAATTCTGAAAAACGTCGGGATGGGCGGGTTCGGAACTTAAAAAACGAATTTCGGGATGGGCGGGATCGGGATTAAATATTTAGTCCCGTGCCCGTCTCTACTGCGTACTCAAAAAATTCTAACAATTCTGAGAAAAATTCTTGAAATTTTGGGTGAAAATTTGTTGATTTTTTTGTAGTCTTTTACAAAGTTTAAAGCTTTTGTTTATATGGTTTTTTTAGAGAATGAACTGTATTTTAATTGAAAATTCCTAAAACTTAATAATTAAATATACAGTGACTCAAACAAAAGACCACGAGTTGATTTTCTTCAAATATTTGTAATATTTTTCGAGCTAGTTTTTTTTTTTGTAATTTTTATATGAAAATATCATCTAAGCTGTAACGAAAACCGAAAGTTCCAACTTCTTATTCTGAATTTTTAGAAAAGTTTTGGGTATGCAGTTTTATAATTTTAGCCCATGCAATTTTAGTTTAATAAAGTACAAGTTACAAACGGCTAAAAAATCGCGTTGATTTTTGAGAATTGTATGGGCTATAAATATAAAACGCATACCCGAAATACTGTATATTCTCATATACATATATGTGACTACCTCTAAACCAAATTAGTATGGGACCACCCCCGAGGCAACACCTTTCCTAAAGAAAAGAATTATGGAAATCGGCGGGCGTGATCCAAAGTTATGCGGTAACATACATAAATAAAATATATATACATATATATCGTCGATGTTTTTGCTAAACCGCCCATCGACCAGTTGCAAACCCGCCTAAAACGCCGTTGTGGCAAAAATGAGATTTAGTAACCCTGAAACCCATAAAAATCATAAAATCGTTATTAAACCAACAGATTTGTAAAAAATGTAATTGGTAGAGAAAACACCGCCTTTCAAGGCAACACGTTCAAAGAAAACCCGCTTTTTCGCTCTTTTATAAAATTTGAGTGCCGTAAGTTAGGCGGTTTTGCAATTAGCCGATGGGCGGTTTTGCAAAAACATCGACGATATATATTCCGACGAATTGATAACCTTCTCCTCTTTTTTGAAGTCGGTTAGAAATCACAATTTTAGGAAATCAAATTTGAAAGTTTTTGTTATGATACTTAACCCTACATTTACGCAATTGAATTTGTAAAATATGTGGTTTCCGTGTACGCATGGGTGTTCTGGATTTTGGTACAACATGGAACATCTAAAGGTTAATCAAGTCCAATCAATAACTCAAAACTGATAAATTTGCACATTCCTGCTTCTGGCATAAGGGTGACGATATCGTTACCATCAACGCAAAAGGTCCTATTTGGCAAATGTAAAATTCACAAAGCCAACCCACTTTTTATATTTATGTGAGAAGCTCGACCGATCTATCATTATATTATTATCATCTCAAAATGCATCCGAAAATTCTCAAGATATATGTATACCATTATGTCCGAAAAAGCCGGCAAATCCTCGAAAAATTCTGAAGTACAAAGCGCGAAGAATACCGAGAAAATTTTGAACTGTCGCGAAAAACGGTTATTGTAAAAGTAATCGGTGTTTCTCGATAAACTTAAATCATATTCTACAATGAGGGGCGCTAATGGGGTACGCCGCATGAGTTTTTTTTTACTATCAGGTTATTCACATCTTGCTGATTATCGGAATATTTGTTCATAACATTCGATTTTCTAGCCAGTTTCCATTAACAAAATACACGGAAGAATAATTGCGGTTATTGCTGATTTGCCGTAATCCGATTTTTCATAAAGTCTAAAGGTTCGTTTTGACTATGTCAAATACAATGGCATTTGCCGGCAAATAAGTGAAAACACATGGTCAAAGGAGATCAAAAAGCGCTTTACCGATCGGTTTCGATCTGGATAGATCTTTAGTCGTGTACATGCGTTGCTGAATCAGCTACCTGTCTTGTTTTTGGTTCATAACATCATCGGTAAAGGTATAGATAAAGGAGATAAAGGGGTTAAGAAATGCATCAAGCCAAAGAATCGCAGAAGATAATTTAAGTAGGCCTTCTTAAGTAAAGCCATTCTAAGAGGCCTACCCAAGAAGGACTGAAAAAGGTGCTTCCTTGCTTGCCGTCTAGAAGGGATTATCCATTCACAATTTACGCGAACGCATAAATTTATATTATTTAGCATTAGCGAAAGCAACTCTTCAATTTGTGCCACTCTATACAAAAAAGAAAGGAGAAAGGAATGTAGAGTGGAAGGCCTCTTGACTCTCAGGAAGGTCTTTCGGAAGTGCTTTTAACTCTTGAAATTATCTACTGGGTGCTATCTCTGGTATAAACAAAAGCAATTAAGTCGCTGAGTAAAACGATTGCAAAAGAGCGCCGTTCTAATTGATTCAGTACTAGCGCATGAAGCGAAACAATTGTATTGCATGTCACTGCCTAGCCTAAGTACACAGTAAAAAATCTTCAGGGTTCGAATCGTCACATATGATATCGTATTACTCGTCACGTAAAAACGCATTTTTCGGATTAAGAACGCACTCTTCATCAAATTCAGTTTTCGATCCGTGAACGGATGTTACGATTCGAGCCCGGGGCTCCGAGAAATGTGTTTTTACGTGACAAGTAATACAATATCGTATCAATAGTCGGAATTGCCATTGGAAATCGTAGGTTATCTTATGTGTATCGATGGTAACCAGACCGCCTTTATTATATTTACAATACATATCCATATCATTTTTTAACTTTGTATTTGTATAAAGGAATGCTTTTTCTGATTTGGTTACAAAATTCATAATTAATTTCGTCAGAATCTTTCGTTTTGAGACTTTTGTAAAATGTGTAAACTCTTTCGTAACTAGCATATTAAATAACTTTAATGTTCTCTTTGTCTCAAAAAAACATAAAATGAAAAAATAATAAATATCAAAACCGTATTCCGGCCAACAACATTAAACTCAATACTAATGAAAATGCCCACGCGCTGCATCATGAATAATGCCAAAATCCAACCTATAACTTGATTCAATGCACATTTCTAAACCACGACTTTTTGAAACGAAATGTCAAATGAAATTATTGTAAAGATTACGGATACGGAGGTGGTTATGATGGCGGCTACGGTGGTGGCAGCGGCGGCGGTGGCCGAGGTGCCGGTGGTCCACGCGGCGGTCCAAAAGGTATTAAAAAAATGAAAAATAAAGTTTTTCTATTTTCAAGTTTGTTATGAATTTTGCTTATCTACCTTAGATATTTACATATAATTTTCCAACAAAATTTTGTGCAAAATTTCTTCATTAAAAAAAAAACACTCGGTTATTTAAACGGTTTAATTCTTCGAATTCGGATTTTTAATTTAAATTAATAGCTTTTGCAAAATTTTTGGATAATGCGGATATATGTATTTGGTCGAGAATATTGGAATTAATTTTGGTTTTATTTTCCACATATCATAAGTATCCCTATATATTAATTTAAAGAACCTATTTCATTTACACAAAACTTATGTTATCCAATTGCATTATTTCCAGTATTTATGTATGCTAAAATTCCATAAATACACATATCGTTTTTATTGAATTCGATTGAAAATGGTGCAGAAATTATGTTATATGTGCATTATAGATTTATATGTACTATATGCACACAGTAAATCATAGAAACGTATTTAAGTCAGTCGTTTTCTGTAGTTTACCTATTTTGCCAAGCTTCCCCCATCACTATTTCTACCCTGTAGCGCATGTTAAATTGTATTTATCTTCGGGTTGATGCTACACCCTTGGTTGGCATTTGCTGAAACAGTTGTTGAAAAAAATTGATGTTCGTTTTATATTTGTAATTCTTCAATAGGTGCCGGCGGCTTTCCTTCGGGCAAGCAAAGGGGGACAGGACGCCAGCCCAGACATCAACCATACTAATCATTTTCATTGCAATAAGTTGATAGTAATAGACAGACGCCGGTATATAAAGAGAATACAACACAAACTGAACAGTCAGCAATTAAATTAAGTTTTTATTAATCGCTTGGAAATTTATGAAATAAATCCAGTACCAGATTAGTTGCGGTAAGTAAAATAAAACGTTATAAAATATAATCATTGTAAGAATTTTAAAATTAACAAGTAATTTTTAAGCAAACAAAGCCGGGTGCCTAGACCTTTTTTTAACTTAATTTGAAACAGAACCCTTTAAACGGAACTGGAATCTTTACTATTACCCGGAAGAACAATTTTTGACGTTTACTTTTTAAAAATAATTTAATTCAAATGTTGGCGCGCGTAGGTGGTCCATTCGGATGGTCCAATTTTCAATTACTCTTTCCAGCATAATGGTTTCCAAGTTTTGAATCGTAGTTGGCTTAAAAAAAAAATATGAAAATAAATAGACTTTTACTTACTTGTGATATCAGACGATCGCACGGTATTGTCAATAGTGGTCTCGGAAGTTCGATGATGCACACCAGCATACTATGTTGGGCGACGTGCAAGAACTTTTCTCACAGAACGCTGATTTTCGTAATAGAGCTGTACGATTTGGAGGCGCTGTTGTGTGAGCCTTTCCATGATAAATTGGCAAACAATACTAAATAAAAAATAAGATGGCAGTATGACACTTGTCACGTGGGATTTTTTGCAAAAAAGCGAATCAAAAAATGTCTAGATGAATCCATGGGAAACTGAACCTCGGTGTAATTATTATTTACGTTATAAAACTAACAAACGTGTGGATAGGACATTTATAAAAATCTTAAAATGAACCAAAAAATAACAACTATCGCCCAAATTCATAAAAAATAAAGATGACTTTAACTGCTTTATAAATAGAAAATTAGTATGAAAATGTCACTTTATAGAGCTCTTTAAAACTATTTTATTTATTATGAATACGACCGTAAAATTTTAAATACATTTTTACTACCTTTTATTTCGTTTTGAAATCAAGTTCTAAGTAAATTTTTTTAGTGACTTTAAAGTAGGTTGTGTTGAGGGTACGGTCAAATGATTCGCAATTCATAATTCAAGTGTTTGGAAAGAAAAATATATAGTAGAACTCACCTGCCTTTAATAATAGTGTGTTATATAATAAATTGTGTGAGGGCTTTATCTATATTATGAGTTATTTTTAACCAGTATTGGTTTTGTCTCACCCGCGACAAAAAAAGCTAAAAGTTGTTATATTTACCCTGCAAACCATTTTTTCAGAGTGTTCTGAATCGTAGAGAAATTTTAATGAAATCGTAAGGATCTCATCCGATTTTTCTTGAATTGGTTTGGAGAAATTGGATTTATATGGTTTATATTATAGAATGAACTATATTTTCATAAATAATCAATGCAAAATTTTTTCATAAAAATAATTATGAATAATATTTATATTAGGTGTACACTTTCATTAGTCGCCTAATGTACATAAAAAATCCCTTTTTGAAAGCGGTAAGAAAATAGATATGCAGTATGTGCTGTGCCAAGAATGTATGTAAATAGGAGAAGAGACCTTTTAATAAGATTTGGCTTTTGTTTAAACAGTTTTTATGTTTTTTATGAAAATTGAGCTTACTATCTAAAAAAAAAAAAAACACTTAAATCAAAATTACAAACTTTGTAGAACATTTATAAAAAGTCGACGAATTTTAACAAATGTTCATTAAAATTTGNTTTCATTAGTCGCCTAATGTACATAAAAAATCCCTTTTTGAAAGCGGTAAAAAAATAGATATGCAGTATGTGCTGTGCCAAGAATGTATGTAAATAGGAGAAGAGACCTTTTAATAAGATTTGGCTTTCGTTTAAGTTTTTATGTTTTTTATGAAAATTGAGCTTACTATCTAAAAAAAAAACACTTAAATCAAAATTACAAACTTTGTAGAACATTTATAAAAAGTCGGCGAATTTTAACAAATGTTCATTAAAATTTAAAACTTTATATCAGATTTTTCACAAGTTTTTTAGTATGCAGTTTTGTAGCCCATAAAATTTTAATAAAGTGCAAGTTTGAAGTGGCTGGGACTTACCGTTGATTTTTGGCAAGTCTTTGTTCACGCATTTTCTTCCATACAAAGTATGNCAAATGTTCATTAAAATTTAAAACTTTATATCAGATTTTTCACAAGTTTTTTAGTATGCAGTTTTGTAGCCCATAAAATTTTAATAAAGTGCAAGTTTGAAGTGGCTGGGACTTACCGTTGATTTTTGGCAAGTCTTTGTTCACACATTTTCTTCCATACAAAGTATGTTCTGCAATTTTTTTTATGTGGAGAAAATGAGGTTCATTCCATGTAAAAGAGGAAAACGACATTAATTTTAAAATGCCCAATCATCTCTAATTCAATGACTACCTCTTTCTGCAATTTTTTTATATGGAGAAAATGAGGTTCATTCCATGTAAAAGAGGAAAACGACATTAATTTTAAAATGCCCAATCATCTCTAATTCAATGACTACCTCTTTTTAAATGACTACATTTCCATAATCAGTTCAAGGATATAAAAAAAAAGGAACTTTTGTCTGTGGAAACTTTTACTTCATGGACCCACCAGTCACAAATTTAAATATTTTTTAATATTTCTATGAAGATTATATAAGCCTAATTTTTATTGAAAACGAAAGCGTATTCATATNTTTCTATGAAGATTATATAAGCCTAATTTTTATTGAAAACGAAAGCGTATGGTTCATATTTTATAACACAAAAACGTCTTTCGCGAAAATTAAGTGTTTTGGCTAAAATTCATCTTTGAGTGCGCAAGGGAAAATAGAGCTCATTTTAGGGACGGAAAATAATCATTGTTCTTTTTTATTTTTAACCAAAAAAATCCACAAGTTTAATCGTCGTAAATCAATTTTAACTATACTCACGTAATAATAAATTTGAGTTTTATGTTTTTTTGCTCAAATTAAGTTATAACTTGATTTTTATTCTTTCGATCAAAAATAATGAGTTCTCTTCAGTGTCCCATACACATTCATTAAATGATAGTTACATAAAACTAAGAAATCGTTTGGTATTTTTGGTAAAGAAATTTTATACATAAGTTATCGTTCTATATGAAAAAGTATTTTTCGCTGTTGTTTAAGTTCCGACGACATAGTTATAATTCACAATTGATTATATTCTGGAGTGAAATAACCCACCAGTCACAATGGAATGGCTCATGAGCAATAGATTCCACAAAAAAAAAATGCCAAAAAATCAACTAGTCACTTCAAGCTTGCACTTTATGGGCTATAAAACTGCATACTCAGAATGTTTTTTAAGAAATCTAATTAAAATGCTCAACATTTTAATGAAATTGTCGAATTTTGCTAAGTTTAGTACGAAGTTGGAAATTTTGACTTACATGGGTTTTGTTAGATAACGAACTACACTTTTCATTTACAAAAATTATGAGCATTAAATAAATGAAGGGAAATCAGCCAACGAATGCTAAAATGCTTATTCCCTATTTATACCTTCGCCACAGAATGTATGAACTAAGTAAAATTTGTCTCACTGTTTTGTTTAATATTTTTGGAAAATGTAGAATGTAAGCATGTTTCATTTCGTGCAAGTATAACCAATAGTGGAGATCGTTAGTTTTTTATTTAGCATTTCTGTGCTTAGAGCCAATTTCCCACCAATTAAAGGATGTGTGTAGAAAGCAGATGTAAAATTTGAGCCGATTACTGCCCCCGTCGATAGATTCCATAAAACAAAAATTGTAGACGGCGTGTCGTTGTTATTTCTTTTTGAAATTATTCAAGATCACGCGATTCCCTAGTTTGCTAACAAGAGTTCCAAAAGTGTATCCCAAATGGGTTTACACTGGATACATTACACTTGATCACGCTTATGAAGCAAAATAGCTTCAGTCAGTGGGCGTCATGCAGTGAGCTTAAGATCCGACATGATTTTCAGTACAGATTTTTTAGCTTATTTATAGAATTACAACGAGGCAAGAAATTCAAATCCTTTATTATATTGGCGGCCAAACCAATTTTTAACCAATTTCAATACAAAAAGTATTCAAAAATTTCGAAAATGCTGTAATGGATGAGATTCCGTTCTTTTTACTTCACCATTTTGTTTGCTTAATATTAGTAATAAGGGGTATGCTATTCTACACGACAGGACACGAGTTAATAATATTTTTAGAAAAATTTCGGTATACATTTTTGTAGCACATGGAATTTTAGTATAATAAAGTGCAAGTTTAAAGTGGCTACAAAACACCGTTGATTTTTGAAAATTTTTTTGTATTGACGGTCCTGCCATTTTCTTCCACATTCAAATTTTGTCGAGGCATACTTTGTACAAGTAGAATATGCTGCTTTTATAAAAAAATAATGACACTAACAAAGGAAAACTGTAAATACTGAGAATCAATAGGGTATGCTGTTCAAATGGCTGGCAGCGTATTTGAAAATGTCTTCGCAGGTCTTTCGTTGCTCATTGATTTTTCCTTATATATCTACCTAAGTATGATTTGTCATTACACGTAAAACTAATTGATTAAAACTAAAAATATTTCTTTCTTTCAATTTCAGCGTAATACTTCATGTGGCACACGCACGCACCAGCACTACATTTCGTCATCCGCATTTAGATTACAGTTAGGGGATAAAATATTATTTTAAATTTTTTATCCATGATCCGAATAAATCATTGCAGCAAAATCAACAACACAACAAAACATACAGCCAAATAACATTATACTCATCCGATTTCTAGGAACCTCTCCGTTTCTTCATTCATTCCGCAAAAAAAAAATCATTAGAAATAATTGAACATTATCAGTAACGGTCTTACCATACATATTTTAGTGTGCGTGTGCATTTACGAAAAGAAACAACCGGCTTTATAATTAATAACACACCAGAAGTGCAAGCAAAAAAGTCTACAAAATCCAGCGTTGCATGAATTGCAACTTGTCAACTTAAAAACAATCCAACAATCAATAGTTTATTAGCACTTACTTTTCATTAGTTTTATATTGTCATAATTACTCTTAATCTTATGTTACCTAATACACTTACTTTAAAATGGTAATTTTTATGCTCTAAG